GGGGGGGGGGGGGGGCACCGCGGTGTCATCAAACAACACAGCTAATGTAGGCGCTGGTGTACTGCCGGGTTCGGATGAGTGAACTCACCGGAGGTTCGCCAGACTGGACGACATAAAATCTCGAACCAAACTGGGTGGTAAAACTCTTCAAAACGTCAAGCTCTTCTTAGGATACCGGGTTTTAGAAGAGGTCGTAGGGCAAGGATTACCATGTTCTAGTGAAGCTACACCTCTCTGTCTGTCTGTCTGTCTGTCTGTCTCTCTCTCTCTCTCTCTCTCTCTCTCTCTCTCTCTCTCTCTCTCTCTCTCGATTCTCCTCTCTCCCTCAATTCCCCTCAAGGGAGTGACCAACACCCGACCGATAAGGTGCACAGCAGAAGAATAGTCGTACAAGGACACAAACGCTCCATCACCCACAACAAACACAGCCCAGCCCAAGTATGTATCCTCCACCAATCCACTCTCTCGGAAGGCTTGTGAAGCACAACAAAGAGCTGAGCAAAAAGACGGAGGTGCTGCTGTAGCACGACCAATCAGCTTGCTCGAAAAACAAACAAGAAAGTTGCAGGCTAGCTCGTGAGCAGCGGGTCAACAAGCATACACGGAAGGCTTGCAGCGGGCACACCCGCTTGCGTCCTTACCGGGTTAGTAGTGAGCTCAATCGTCGACCCTTGAACCATCGTGATCTTGCCGCCGTCCTCCACGTTCCCTGTGCGGATCTCGGGCCCCTGAGTGTCAATGAGCACCCCCCGCATGTTGTGCTCCCCAAGGCATGCCTTGACGTGCTTCCCCTTAGACTAGTGATGCAGGTGACCGACCGATCCGGTCGCGTCCGGAGCAACCATTGCGTGCGGGGCACAATTAGTCAACTTCGGCATCTGCAGAATGAATCTGCTGAATGAGGAAGGACCAAGGTTGAACGGTGATCGACACACTCCATCGCCCTGGCAGGGGACGAGATCGATTCCATAAGTTTACCCGTTCGTGTTGAGCACCTGGAACCACACGGCAACACGACAGCCGCCGACCTCTGCCCCAACTCCCCCCCTACACCCTAGACCCACACCCAGCGAATGCGTCAGCACCCGAAAAAACGTCGGCGTGCGCTGGTGTAGCTTTTCGTCCAACAACGGTTTTGTAAAAGAGGCTTTGAAAAGGTCACTGCCTGTTTGCTGAGCGTCTTGGGGAATACTTAGCCATAGTCGAGGTTATCGCTCTCCCGCAATTTCTTCCTAATTTCTGGGTTGATGGGCGTGCAATAAACTGGTGGACGATAAACTTATCCAGATACCTCTTGCGGCGGAAAAAAACAGGACTGAAGACTCAAATCGGGTCTGACTTACCGCCCTGAGGTTGGCCAATCGCAAGTCCGCCTCCTCAAAAGTGGCGTGAGAGAAGTTAATGCGCATCACACGCATGCCCGCGTCCACCACCTGTGCTCGTTAAACCATCACCCATCACACCGTCCGTGTGGATTCGTCGCAGATGCACACAACGGGGCAGTTGTTACAAGCTTGCGTATTGCGGAGGTAGGCCAAGTTGGTTTGTTCGATATGGGTGGGTTTCCAAATACATGGTCATGCAGGACGATGGGCCACTGCTGTGTTGCACGCGTGTACCTCTACTCGTATGCATACAACTCGTAACGGGCGGTGTAGTCATGGGGCTACTGCTCTGTGTACCTACCCTGACAATGGCCCGGAGAGTGGCGAGATCTGTGCGGAGGGCACGCACGCCCTGTTATCCCGCGATTGAAAAACATGCGATTGGGAACTGAGGCAAGTGATGCCTTGCAGGAAGGGGAGCTTAAACACGACGTTGTGTCTCACTTGTCTAACCTCACTTGCGCTACATACTGGGCGTGGCGAGGTCATGAAACCAACCATTGTTGTGACGCCGCGCACCGCCGACAAGTCTTGTAAGCAAAGAAAGCACTGGGTGCAATATACCTCAAATTGGAAAGTAGCCCAGTTCGGCAAAAAAAAAGCCTCGCGCAGGCTAAATGTGCTAGTGGGCTCCGCTATTACGCAGCAATGCAGCGAAAGGAAGGAGGCGGGGAGGGGGTGTCAAGAAACACGAAGTGCCGACACTGGCAACCTCTGCTGTGTCTGTGTCTGTGGCTCTCAGCGAATGTTCGCGGGGAACGTTGCTTGCGTACACAGGGAGGTTTCACGCCGCAAAAATCTGCAATTGGGTACGGGGCGTTGCGTTGTACTGGTGGTGTCGCCGTCAATCACGGCGACATCGGACGCAGATGCTCGACAAAAAGGAGGGATGCATAGCCGGGGCACACCTTCTGCATCGGCTCAAGTTGCTCGGAGGCGGGCCCAATCGTGGCAACGATCTTGGTCAAAGGGATCGGCACCCTCCACGTATAGACACCTCGCATCGATCTCCAGCAAGTGGTGTTTCCCGCAGCAATTGCAACGGCGTTGGGTGAGCTCCGCCATGCTTCCCCGACCAGTAGCCTGGTCTTTGGTGCCGCCAACTTTCCCCGACAAGCCCGAGCTATCAACGTCTGCATGGTTGCGTGTTTGCGAACGGCTGTCTCTGCCCAAGGGGAAGCAACAAGACACGCCATAGGGGACCCGCAGACAGGGATCGTTCTCTAAGCATGTGCATGTCTCGTTTCACCGAGTTCCCCCGCAAACGTGTGTGTGTCAATCACATGATCATGATGTCCATGAATGAAGCGTTGGACAACGGCCGTATCATGACACGTGAACAGAAGAGTGTTGTCGCGTAGCAGTAAAACATGTGAAGCGCCTTGCGATAACAGGCATGGCCACATGGCCACACCAAACCATGTGTCTCTGTGGATAGGCTTGTCGACAAAAAAAAAAAAAGTTTTTCCACCTACCGCAGTCAAACTACCTCCCGAATTGGCCTCGTTTTGATCCAGCGAGAATACATTTACTTCGTAGTCATTGGCAACAAACGGGGATCTTCACTCACGTGAATGCGAAACTCATTCGGTGCTAAACTCGTCGGTGCTTTTCGTGTGACCTGCAACCCGGGTGACGTGCAATATATCCCCGCTGTGGTGGAGACAGCAGTAGTGGTTGGCCTCCCCCCCCCTGAAACTCCGCTCAGACCACCGCGCAAGCGCGTCAGTCCGTCACCATCGGAAAAACTCAATGCACGGAAGAGGTCGACGGCATGCCTTGCACTACCATAACTAAAAACCTCAGCAAGTAGTGTGCCTACACACAGCGCAGTAGCACTTTTCACGTTTCGTGCCGTGCATCCCCGCTGGATAAGTTGCTTGGATCACGCGATGAACCATTTGCTCATTAAAATTACGTTGTTAGCGATGGCTGACTTGTTGTTGTCACAGTCAGCCTCCGTTCACGTGCGGCAGAGCAGAAAATGTGTGTACATGTCTGTACGGATTCTCACCGGTTGGTGCATGGGGTGGCCAGAGGTACCTATTCGTGGGGGCGCGGAACTGCGGGCTGGGTATAACTTCAAGGTTGAACGCCGCTTGCAGGTAACCCCGTCATCGCCGGTTGGGCATTGATCCAACAACAAGCCGGGTTGGCAGACAAAAAAAAAACAAGCCGAAAAAGAAACAAGCTGTCTTTAGGTCGATCGCGTCCTCCCAAAACCTCCCTCCCCAACCTTCCACTGGTCGGTGGCCAACCTACCGTAGCCTGCACCTCTACGGCCATCTCGGCGCCCAACACCAACAGCAGTCAAGCCAACTGTTAACTGGTAAACCCTTGGTTCTTCCCAACGTCTAGAGCCCCGCCTCCCTCTCTCCTGAACAAATGCTGCATACAAACGTGTACAGATAAAATACAATATAGTCTACAGATGAAAAAACAGCTCCACACCCAACCCTAGCACGCAACGAAAAATCAACTCAATGGCCACGTATAAGGCAGACTCTGGGGACCTCTCTCTCTCACTACGCCACCACACAGCTCAAACAAACAACGTATTCATGTGGCCACAGCGCGCGACGCGCGCATGCGAGGTACATACAAAGCCTAAGGGGTTCCCAACAACATTCCAGACATCGAATACTAATAACCTTCATCCGTGATCCAACAGACGCTCGCTGCGTTTACTTGCTCTCAGGAACGCGCGCTTGCAAGCTTTTATCTACGCACCCAACAACGAACGTCATGACATACTTCGGGAAATGTCTGGAGTGTGAACCTGCTCGCAAACGTCCCGGAGGGCGGGCGTCGCTTGCCTTACAAATAACGACAACCTATCAACACCAAACCTCATTCACGCGGCGCACACGCTCAGCGAAGCATCCCACAGGATCCTTAAGCGAGATCGTCAACACCGTCTCCGGTAAGCACTTTGAATACGGCAACGTGATGGAACGACCTGAAACTGCAATTTTCTAACGGTAAACGGGAACACGACAGGTCGCCGGGAAAGCCAGCCTGTACAATAGACCGCCAAGTCCCAGAGGTCCCACGGGAGTACACGCCAGAACAAAAAAGAAACATCCAACCAACAAACGAACATCAAACAGAAGCACAACGGTCAGACACGAAACACCGTTGCCGCCAAGGCGTTCTGGCGGTAACAGAGGTAGAAAACCCACATTACGCGGCAAAACGAAATCCCTCAACACCGCAAATTACCGCGCTAGGATACCGGGAAGGGCCTTGGTATTCGTAATCCCACGGCTTCCACGACATGAAAGAACACCTAAGTCACGGCAGCGATGGAAACATCACTCTCGACACTAGTGGCCCCCCAACCACGTGCCTCTCGCACGTCGAACGATGCGCATCAAACACTACTGCAAGACATACAAACCGAAAAAAATGTATCCCACGGGTTCAACTTCGACGTGCCGTGGTTCGCATTATGTCTACTCTACACGTGCATCACTTTATCCAGATGAAGTGACAGATGCATCACCGACCGTGTTTGCCTTCGGAGCTAGGAAGAACGTGTGTACAGGGGGAGCGACTCGCCTCTGATCCTTCACAACTCACAAAAATCACCGACACGTACCACGCAATTCCGGACTGATGGCCCGAGCACCCTCCCTACGGGCTACGCCCAAGTAAAACCGTAGCAAGCAACACCGCCACACGAAACGTGGGACGTTATTGTACACGCACCTCGACGCTGCCTGTCTCATCAACTTCGGCCTAGGGTGGCCTAAGGGGGGACTGGTTTTCTCTTCGATCTCAGCATGAGGGTCAGGACAAAAGCGGCACCCTATCCCCGATAAACGAAGCCACTGGCCTCCTCGGTGCCAGGAAATGTTAATGCGTTGGGCTCCAAAGCGGTACAGGGGGGGCAGGAGGAATGCACAACGATGTTCCGCGAAAGTCTCCATGGTGTCACACCTATTGCCCTCATCCCGACTTCTTCTTGTGCGTAAACAACGCTTTCCATCACAAGCGGATACAACCTAGCAAAGCGCGACGTTACAGCTCATCACGACATTTCGGGATAAAGTCTCCATGGTTCCACACCTACTGCCACCACCCATCCTTCCGACCTGTTCTGCGGAGAAACAACGCCTTCTGTCACAAGAGGCAACAAGCGCGACGTTGGAGATCATCATGCTCCTGCTGCTTTGAGCTCGATGTCCGGGGTTGTTGGAGACGGAGGCGTGGCCGGGCCGGGGAGGCGGTAGGCGATCGCCGAAGCGGCCACGAGGAAAGGGCAGGCCACCACCAGGCACATGGACAGCCCGAAGTCATCCGACTGCAAATGGAGCCAGGCAGGAACACCGCCCGGGGCGAAAAGAAACGCGAAGCGAGAGAAGGGTTAAGGCGAGAGACAACGTTGAGGTGCAAGGGTAGTTGCCGGGAAGGAGACATCGTACAGTACCTCTTCGGAACACAGCGTGGCACAGGAGCGTAAACGCTAAAAACTGCGTTTCGATTCCGCCCCTCTTTACCGACGGCGGTGCCACCCAGGAGATGAGATGAGAGCCCGGTGGTCAACTAAACCACACCCCTACGTGTGTGCCAAGGCACTACTGCGCTTCAGATACCAGCAGCGTCACCCGCCAGTCCTCAGATCAAGACAGCCGGTGAACGAGAAAAAGCACCGACAGCTGTCGTCCACAAGTTACGTGGCGAACCCACCGTGTAGTGGTAGAGGAAGCCGCCCACGAGGACACCGATGAGCCTGCCCATGGCGTTCGCCATGTAGTAGAACCCGAGGTCCATGGCGACCTTGTCCTGCAGGTGCGGGAAAACGGCCTCGGGTGGTCAAAACGATTCCCCAGGGTCCCTCCGCGACATGTGACCATTTCAAAGGGCTTCGATGTTGAGCGATCCCACCCTTTGAGTGAGGTGTCAGTATGTTATCATGTTCAACGGGGCTTCAATGTTGCGTGATCCCACCCTATTGAGTGGAGTGACATTATGCAACCATATATAACGGGGCTTCAATGTTGCGTGGTCCCACCCTATCGAGTGGACAGTATGTAACCATACTCAACGGAGCTTCGATGTTGCATGATCCCACCTTATTTGGTAGAGCGACAATCCGCTTTCGCGAGCAGCCAAGTATGCAAAGGATGCCCCCCCTACTCTTACACGAATCTTGGGATTCCACGGCAACAAGCATAAACATATCTTCTTTGGCCACCTTATTGGAGTAACTGACGATCAGGTAGGAGTGCACAGACGAGTTGACGGCGAACAGGCCTGCGAAAACCAACATCCCGAGGACGAGGACGCAGCCAGTCGCCAGCTGGCTGTCCGCCACCTTGTGCGTGAAATAAGACGCTCTGCGGACATCGGGGGCAAAAAGGCAACAGCATGGACGGGATGATGCTTCGGTCAGGAATTATCCGAGCATGTACGTAAGCAAGATCATCGATGCCGCCTGGTCAAGCTCGCACGACACATTTATCCATTATTGTTTTTCGGATCAAGCGGCGACCACCAGACACCGAGGAATGGACCCGAGTGTCACGGTTCCTCCCGGGCAGGGTGGCGGACAAACCAACAGATTGTCCGCTCGAAAGGTGGGTGGTAACCTCACTCAGGCCCTGCCATGGGAGTGAGTCCCACATGGGGTTCTCGACACAACGAGGGTAACCTGGTACCGCATGACCTTCGAAGGGTACGAAAGCTAACCGGGCATCATCAACGTCGAGATACGGTGGGAGGAGAGGGCTCACATCCCGGTGATGAGCGGAGCGAGAGAGCAGTAGGCCGCCCACTTGTACGCGGCAGCCCCACTGGGTTGCCCGCCGGTGCCGTCGACGTTCTTGTACAGCTTGGTCGACGCGGCCTGAAGGTTACCGTAGAAAACGATGTACCCTGAACCATGTTTCCGGGGGTCCCGTGTGGTTCATGGATAGTGCGAAGGAGGGTGGCGGGGGAAGAGTCAGATCCCGGCGAAAATAAATCTCGGCAAAGCCTCGCGGATGACAACCACTGCTGTAGTTGTTGAAATGGCAATGGCATATTGGACATCATGCCCATGGTCGCAAGCATAGCCTTGCTCCGACCAGAGTGAGTATCGGCCTTCGGAGCACGTAGATGCGCATGTCACACGGCCGAACAACGGCTTGATCAAGGCCCGTCTTACAAAGAGACAGAGCTCTCGCACCTAAAACAAAGTGAAACAAAGATGCCCAATCAGTGGAACGTATGCAAAACAATAAAACGTTACCCGCGGACATCAATGCTGGAGCGCCTGGGTGAACGCTCCACTATTGTGGTGGTCGAGAGCCACATAATCCCATGCAGACCGACGTGAAAAAAATGGTACAACCCACGAAAAGTATCGATCGTTGTTTGTGCGTCCTTCTCACCTGCCATTATCAGCCCGACCAACTCGCGCTTCCACCCGAGCTCCGCCCTGAGGAACAGGGGCAGGCCGATCTCGAACCACACGTCTCGGGAACCGAACAGGAAAAATCTCGCCGCGGACAGCACGTTAACGTTGCGTCCCTTTCGGAAGAGGCGGTTCCAAGTCTGTTTTTCTCTCGACAGATACACCCAGCCCTCTTTTTTTTGGGGAGCGGGGGAGAGAAACGCCGTGCGAGGACGGGGGGGGGGGGGGGCGCGGTTGGGGGGCGTGGCGTGGAAAATTTCCGTCTTGTTTCCTTCAGGCCGTCGGTTGTCAGCGTAGACTACAAGACAGCCACATCATCTCTCACGGTAGTTGTGGTTTCCTCAACGTCCAAAAAAAGAATCGACCGGTGCAAAAGGAAAAGCGCTGCACAGCAGCAGCGCTTCAAGCCACACTAGCTTGCAGCTCGAGAATGGAATAGCTGCCGCAGCAAAATATCTCTCTAAAACTTGCTGCTCTTTTTACCTGTCCATGCCGAAAATTCCAACCGGTACGAAGAAGGCGCAGATGCCGACCAGGATCCACAGGCTGTTCACGTAGCCGATCTGGGCCACCAAGAGCGCGCCCAAGAAGCTCCCAAACCTTAGACAAGAAAAAACAACGGTTCGGGTCGATTGGTGCGAGGTGGTGCTTGGTAGAGACATGGTCTCGTCCAACGTCACCAAAGGAAGGGCGAAAAGTAGTACTATTATTGTACCTACGACACAGGCCGCGATTGGCCTGCTGCGTACCTGTGGACCACGAAAAAAAAACCAGCGGAACAACGTCAAAACCAACGCGCCTAGAGAATGCGGCGGCGGAGAGAAACGCAATCGGAATCGCCCCCCCTAACACTTGTGCGCCGGCCAAGCTAGGACCTTTACGCCGACTCAACGGACGGGTATGACACATGCAATAGCGCCCCGGGCGCTTGATAAACCAACACGGACAAGGTGCGCCTGGACCTTTGCGGCTTGCCCGTGGCCATTCAAAACAAAGGACACGGCAAAAGGTAAACAAAGCCGCACCCACACGAGTTTTTCCAGAACGACAAACATCGAAGCGCGGTGTGACCCAAAACCTCTGTCTCTCTGTGCATGTGTGTGTGTGTTTATTTTGCTTTGCCCTGCACACCGAGCATACGAACGGAATTACGATGTTATGGTCATTTTATTTCGGATACCTTACGGGGGGGGGGGGGCGTTTGCGCCGTAATCTCTTGTGCATTACTTCCAGAAAAGCTGTTGCAGATTGGTGAGGGTCCATTCTAGTGTAGTCGTGTCTCCTCGCTCCTTGAGGGAAGAATGGTGAGGGTCTATTCCAGTCTAGTCGTGTCTCATTGCTCACCCCTTCAGCGCGTTCTTCATGCCGGTCAGCCAAGCAACAACCTGGAACAATCTCCCCTCCGCGCCTTCCTTTGTAACGAGCTTCGGCGTCGCCTTGCCGGTGAGTTTCATGAAGTCCTACGCGACCGTTGCATGTTGCCCGCGCAGCAGCAGCACAAAGGCGTGACAAGACCGCTCTCGTTTACGGTTACCATTGTTTCGGTGTTCTACTTCGACGGCAAAGAGTAGGATGCATGCGATCGCTACAACGCCGTCGGCATGTCACTATCCAACCACTCGAGGAAAAACGAGAGAGAGTACATGCGTCCGCTTGTACAGCACCACAGCGAATAGTCAAATAGCTTCCTGTGGATCGTCCACATCGGTTGCAGCCCACGTAGGATGGGTGCCCGCTTTGTTACATACCTTGGCAACGCCGGCCAACGCCTGCCAGGCGGTGATGTAGATGGTAGCCTCGAGGTACCTCCTGCTCCCCGGCGTTGCCTCCCTCAAGTCCCCCAGTACCGGCTCCGTTTGCGTGAGCGCCGAGAGGCAAATAATCTGTGGTGACAACGGCGGGACAAAAAAAAACAGGTGAAGTGTTTGTTTCTGGCCCCGCGTTCTTCTCTGTTGCGGTACGCTCCGTCGTGTGCGACGAACGGGCGGGTTGCTCGGAATGCCGCCATACACATCCGCGGGTTTCCGTACCATACCAGCATGCACGGTCGGACGGTCGAAATAGTGTTCGGTACATGCCAACCGAAGGACGACTGTTATGACAAGAGCGATGCTTGTGGGGGGAATTGGTCAAGAAGTAGGTCAGAAATGCAGCTAGCCAGTCTGTAACGGGGGGGGAGGCTGACGTTTCGCCAGCTAATCTCGCCCCTCCTTCAAGTTGATCATGGAGCAAGTGTAGCAACAGGCCGAGCTGCAGTTGGTCATGGGAATCACAGACGACTGGTTAGGCTTGAACAAGCTGACAACTGGCCGTGAATCTGGAAGCTGCTCAAGGTACGGCGTGGAGACGCCAGCGACTTCACCCCACCACACGAACGAGAACCAGACGACCGCGTGGGGAAAAGAAGGCCAACACCGGGCCGTGTGCGCTCACCTGAAGCACGAGAGATGTCAAGAGCGTGAAGCGTAGACCGTACTTGCTGCCAGCCACGCCCCCGAAGAGGTTGGTGAATACCCCAGCCACCTGTCGCAGCCAGGGACAGCGGAGGTTACAATATGGGCGCGGTGGGGTTGTGCAGAACTCGTGCACCCAAAAAAGATGACGCGACACGGCAGTTACTATTTTGTTTACGCATTGAACCCTATCGAAACAACAAGCAAGAAAATTCGGGTATGAAAAGCTCACCACCGAACATTCATTCAGGTCGAGCCTTCGCAGAAAGCACGTGTGGAAGGTTGGTTGTTCAGGTCATAAGCTCTTGCTCGTAAGCTGTTATCTAAATCAAGGGACGCGCTCCACCGGGTGTCAAAATGAGGAGGCGTTTAACCCTGTTGTACTGTTGTAGTACGCGCCCCCCAGTTGCGAAAGTACAGAAAGATACACTGCATGAATCCATACCTGGTATCTTCGACTTCGAACTACTTACCCTAAAGAAGTTGGCCAAAGCACAGGTGCTCAAATCACGTAAAACCCTTTCACACTGTAACCTGCAAGATCTTCTGAAAGACTAACCTAACGCAGATAGTCAAAGGACGGATGTGTAGTCTATGTGTTGAACGTTAGTGCGGGGCGTGGGGGAGAAAGACTCCTGCTGATTTATGGGGCGTACGTTGTTTTAGACACGTAGACTACAGCAGTAGCAGGTATTTAGCACGTAGTCGATGTTTAAACCACGGAGAACAAGAGAAACGACCGTCGGGCAAAATAACAAAGTAACAAAATAACCGCTGGCGTTTTCGGTACTTCACGGTGTAAAAAAAATCTCGAAACTCTCCCTTGATATTGTACTGCTGTTGTTGCGCGTTCTGCCCAGACCGAACACATCACCCACCTCTACGCTACGCTTCTCTGTGAAAATAATCTGAAGAGTTTGCTGCTATTCTAGGGACTAGAGAACGTGACTTGCTGTCTACTGCTGTACGGCGTGGTACGTCATATTGTACATACCTGCGGCGTGTTGACAATTTAGTACAAAACCCCGCAAAAGTAAAGCCTCTCCTACACACACACCCGCTCTTTCCTACAAACGCACAGGACGGCGAGAGCGGGTGATCATTCGCGTCGCACCCCCAATCCTATTGGACATAGACGGGTCTTGGCAAGGGTGGGGAGGATCTCCGTACGTGCACATACCTCGTAGGCACTGAACATGAAGGCAATCTCGATGGCGTTGAACCTGCAAATGACCACAGCGCGCACGTTTGCTGGTCACGGGACTTCAGGCTCTCCTCGAAAATCAATCGTGTTTTTGAATCATATATATGATGCGATTACGGTAAGTACAGCAGTAGCAGTCATCTACACAGCAGCAGACAGGTGGAAACAAGCCTGCAAAAAATACGGCGGTGGGAGGCACCCCCTCCCTACAGCAGCAGTGTTGATGACACACGTACCCGAGGTCGGCCGCGTGCAGTAACACGATGAGCCTCAAGGCGCCGTCAGTGACGGTGTATCCGTTGTACGACAGCGCCGCGGTGTAGAGGTTGCGCATCGGCGCAACCTGCTTCGATGCTCCTGCTGCTGCTGCCGATGGTTCAGGAGCGGTAGCCATGGAGGACTCATCGGCTTTCCCCTCCTCCTCTCCCCCCCTGGCGCCATGCTCGGTGTCCTCAGGCCCCTTCTGTAGGTCGCCTTGTGCGGTCGGCACTCCTGACACCCTTGCTGTCGCCCCTGTTGTCGGAGCCAACTGGCCGCCGTCCATCGCGACGGGTTTGCTGGACACTCCTTTCGGCGGTCAACTAGTCGCGCCCTGCCTGCTCTGTGACAAGCTTGCGCGTCAGTGGCGATGTCAAGCTTCGAGAACCGCCGTGACGAGACCTTTCCTGATGAGCTGATCTGTGGTGTGCGTGGGCACGACGTTTGTTCCCTTGAGATCCAAAACAGTTGCCGAAACTGAGGGGCCGAATGATCGTGAGTGTGAGGAATGAGCAAAGAACGAATGTTTTTCTACACTAATCTCAAGATGAGCGAATCTCCGGTTATCGGATCTTTTTGGATATGAAAAAAAAAAATGACATGTGTTGTCATGGGCGGCTGTGTACAGCTCCCAGCCAAGAAAACGTGTGCCTGTTGAGAGAGGCGTTGCAGACATGGAAACACCTTGAACCCCAACCCTAACCCTAACCCCAGGCGCGTGTAGCGGTCCGATCGGGATAGTGTTTGTCGACACATTAAGTATATCTTGCGAAAAATGTACACCTTGTTTGTAATGTACACCTTGTTTGTTTGTCATCAGCACACAAGACATGTTGTGCAACCAAACGTGTCATCATCATGCGATATAACATTCGGTTCTGATGCATGACAATGTGGCAACATAGGCAGGACCTGTGCTTATGTTCAACAACATGAATATTTTTGCAGTGGCAAGCAAAAACAAAACATAATCTTGTAGGTTGCTTGTACCCCCCTCTCGAGACTGCTTGAACCCCCCTTCGGGTCGTTTATAGGCTGGACTGTCAGATTATTTTTTTTGCGACAAAAAAAAACACTCTAATAATAATGAGTAATCCTCATTCACAAAGAGCTGGACAAGATCCCATCCCATGATGAATGGATGAATCGTAAAGAAATCCCGCCTGGTGTCGCCGCTGTTGCGAACGTTGGGGATCCGCGTCCTGCTACCCTTCAGGCGTGCTTGCTCACTCCCATATCCCTCCGCTAACTCGCCGCTGCAGTATCGTCGACAGGCTAATTCTTCAACCCCCGTATGTGCCCCTACAGCTGCGTTCATTCGCGTCGTCTTTCGTCCACACTCTATCTGTGTAGTCGATGCATCCACTACTACAGTATACTACTGCAGAGGAGAGGCGACTGCACGCTAGTGGTAGAAGTCGAAAAGGCGGCGGGTGCTCTGCTGAGACTGCCGAGTGATTGGCCCACCAGACCAACCAATATGCACATACATGTGGGTAGCGTAGCAAGCTCGAGCGCATGGTGTTGCAGTTTATCGTTCTATTGCCAGTGCGCCGAATACATATACCTGTATTCTGAAAACGAGAGAGTGGTTGGTTGGTGTCGCTGGGTTTGTTTGTGTTGTTTGCGTGATTCCGTGAGTACGAAGCAAGTGTCGGGTAGTAGTGTCGGGTACGCGCAACCCCCCCTTCCCTAGATTTCCGTGTGGAGTGTCCGGCTAAGGTCGTTGAAACAAAAAGAAAATGGCGGGCGGGGAAAAAACTGAGCATAGCAAGGTTCTTTGGCCAGTGACCTTTTCTCAGGAAAAAAGATCGCCAAAAAAAGGGAACCGCGCAATAAATGGTCTTAGCCGTCGGCACCACGCTCAATCCTGCCCATAGGGTATGCAAAGTCTAAGACAGGAAAAGAGGGCCGGAACTTCATGCGCGGCCATCATCATCAAATATGCCCGAAAGAACGGGTTCACCAACACATGTACAACTGGCGGATGGAGCACAGACGACACCCCTCAACTCCGGTAACGCCGATCATCTCACGTACACTTGCTGGTGCCAGCTACTTGAACAGGAAACATCTGCGCCAGCATGTTTGACAATACAGTTCGCGCCCGCACCTAAGAGCTTGGCAGCTCAGCAGTTTAGAGCACCACGCTGTGAATCACTCCTACACCAAACACCTAAATAACGACCCTTTGCAGCGTAACCCTATAATAGGAGCTAAGCACCCCAACCTCAGCCAAAACTGGAGGCTTATAAGTGCGGGCGGTAACTGCACACGACGAGATAAAACAAACCTCCGTCTGCACGATTCCGAACCACCGCACAAGATGCACTCAATTTTCTGTTGACGTCGAGTCCTCGGTGTCATAGAATGTAGTGAGCCGGTATCGACTAAACAACACCCGCCCTTCGTCCTGTTCATCACCATTCATCACGAACATCAATTGGGAGGACAACACACCCAATGCCCCGCACACGCTACCGTCCCCGAGGTTTCCACCAAGCTCGAAGAGTTACTTTCCCCGCCTTGCCATACAGCAGCGGCAACGCCCTGATGTCTGGCCGAGGGCCATCGCCACAAAACCGACCACTCGCGTAACAACGGGGTGACCTCCAACCGTCGCCGCACGACATAGCACCACAACACCGGTTCTTCCTGCAGCCAAAATACACATTTATTTCTATAAAATATTTAGGGGTCTTCCCTTCCATCCCGCCTACGGTACATGTTAAGTCATACCACCACGGCACCTCTTTTCGGTCGGCAGTTACGCAATTGTGCGTACCAGGCGGGGGGCACGCGGAGCAGAGAGAGACAGCCCCTGTGCGGCCCTCTCCTTCAACTTTCGCCGCGACAGAGGTTTATAAAGCAGCTACGCATACTGCTGTACCCTCTCAGCAATCGTTCCTTCTTTTCGTCGGCCTCCTGTAGCATAGCATAGCATCGACTATATACATTCACGGGGACAACCGTGCTCGCGACGGAGAGACTTGTTGGCTCTGAACTTCTGACCTACAGTCCAAACCTAGGGATGAATCAATCTTCTCGCGAACGAGGCATTTCAAGTCGCAAGAATCAGTGCTTTGGTGCCTATGGTAACAAGAGTATCTATAGTTTTCGCACTTATGTACTACCGTCACACCTCGCTCGGTACGCGACCCAAACGTTCCACCCCCAATGCCGTTCCTCCCCCAAACAAAAGAAGAAGAAGAAAAAAAACATGCGGTGCAGCTATCCTGTAATTGTTCGAACCTATACTGCTACATAGGAAAACGTGCACAGCTCGCCCGTCTAGTGCATCGTATCCCAACCTCTCAAGGGCCAACGACACCAGACAACCCGAGGAATCACACCCTGCACCTGCACCGCTACGAGAGGCTGCTGCACGTCACATCCGTGCCAGACACAAAAGCGTCGTTGCGCTCGAATATGCACGACAACCATGTAGCCGCCCATCCGTTTCGCAACGACATTCGTGTTAGTCCTCGAAGAAGTGCGACGGGTCTCCGATGCCCAGCTCCTCGCACACAAGGCTCAGCACCGCAGTGGAACATTCGCGGCCGGTGGCCACCTGAGTCCGCAGTTGGTATTGTTGAGGAGGGTGGGGTACAAAAAAACGCAAGCAAGGGGGGGGGGGAGTCGCACCATCGCGGACGAGCTACTAAGAGAGAGAGAACTGATCACCGGGGAAGAGGCATATGACGGATTTCGCCATGACGTCAAGATGGCGCAGCTCGAAATATCTTCGTGCTTCTCCGCCATGCGAAAAAGGGTCGAGGGATACAAAACAAAATACGTCACCATAAAGAGCTAAAAAATGAACGCACGACAGGTAGATGGCAAGGGCATGGCGACAAAGACAAAGCGCCGTCCCCATCAATCCGACCTGTCTCGGACAACAGGGAGTGGGGCAACACGTCCACGACAACCACAGAAGCGCACAGGAGACACTCGAGCTTCCACTATACTATAAACTACACAAACACGACGAACAACAATAACAACAGCCACAACAACGATGACGACAACGACAACGACAACCACGCCGACGACCAAGGGAGCGACGATGACAACAAGGGTCCGTGGAACAATCGAAATGCCGGTCAATACCCACCTTATTGGTGACCATGGCGAACGCCAGACCAGAGGCCGGGTCACACAGAGCCACACTGCCGCCCATCCCCACGTGGCCTAGCCCCGACAATCGCACGCGGCCCCGTGTGGCGGGGGCAGCAGCAGCATCAGTCAGGGGCACCGTGCCGTCATCAGACTCCCCCCCCCCGAACAAGGAAGCGGCCCTGCTGAAGAGCGTGCTTCCGGTCGTGCTCCCTCCGCCCAGGAGAGTGGTGCTGTTCTCGCTCAGCCTCCGGCGGGTGCCGAAGACGCTGCTGGTGGTGCTGCCCCTGCTGCTCGCGGCAGACGGGGGCTCGTGCCGCCGCTGCAGCTGCTGCAGCTTCGGCTTCTCGCGGAAGCCGAACATCTGGTAGCCCAGCGAGTACCGGACGCCCCCCATCGGGAGGCCGAAGAAAAGGTGGAGCGAGCTGCTTTCCTTCACCTGAAGGTAAGGTAAAAAAATACAACATGCACAGCGAAGAATAGTTCATTGTTTTCAACCGCACCGAGACTGACGGCTTGTCGTTGGTCAGCGTGGTCGATGCTGACAACAAAAACACGCACACAGATCAGAGCTATGTGTGTACGCGGGGGAATGTGCTGTGAGCACATACATGTGCACCCACGACACCGAAACAGAGCGGACATGGAGCCAGCAATCAAGCCGTGCCTTGGGCGTCAGACCGTGAAAATTACGCGGGTTGAGTGCATGGACGAAGGCAGGCTCGGGGTGTGGGTCCGGTAGGGAACGCGGATAACATAGTAGCGCGGAAAGGGCTTGACGGTGGAGAGGTTCTGCAACCCGGCTTTCAAGACACGAGAAACTCCTGCTGTGCTTGGTTCCGCAAAGCTGTAGCGCCTGCGGCACAACATCATCCTACCTCAGCATGGGAAAAATTCGAAACATCTCGTCGAGGGCTTTCCGTATGTAGACGTACTCGGGTTCTTTCCGCACACACATGGAGCAACCGAGCTTTGAAGGTCGTTCGCAACCAAAACCACCGCACCACAGGCGGCGGATCCACTGCTCACCTGGTACGCCCGCATTTCGTTAACTCGAGCCCGGCAAAGCAAAGACGGGGGCTTGGCAGGGGCAATGGAGGCGGTGGCGGGGCTCGGTCCAGCAACCACACGCCGGCGCCCGCTTGAGCTGGTCTTAACTTTGGCGTTGCTGCTCAGCCCCAACGACCCCAGGAAGTTGTCGTAGAGGGTCGCGAGAGCCTTGGCCGTCATGTGGCCGTTCGCGGCGGGTATGCAGGCGTCCCTCATCTGGGAAGCGGTTGGCAGGGGGGGGGGGGGAGGAATCAAGTAATTACATGGGAGGGGGGGAGGGGGGGGGACCCCTGGAAAACCCCCCCCTAATCCTTGAACCCCCATCCCCCAAACGGAAGGAAATGCCCCCCGGCCGGGGTACCTTTTACAAGGGCGGAAAAAATTTTCCTTTGGTTTGGGGGGCCAAAAATGGGCCCCGAATCCCTCCAAAAAATGAAAAAAGCTAAAAAGGGCACCCCCACCGGGACAAAAAAAACAACCATATTTCTTGGGCGGGGGGGCCCA